GACAGATTACGAATTGTTTGTTAGCTGAAACTTGATCAGCTTCTGGGGAAAAACAGCAATAAACGATCTAAGGGAAATGACAGAAGTGCAGTATTTTTGCAAAATATAGTCTTTTGTATCAAATAGGACGATTACGGTATTTCTAACTGATTGCCGAGCAATCGACGAATGTCTAAAAGCTCCGTTACCCCGGCCAGGTCAAAAGTGTGTAGGGCACATTAAGAAAAGCTGATTTCCTGGGTTAAGCAAATAAAATAAAACAGGTTATGATGCAAGTGTGAACAGAAAGCCAAGAATGGTAAACCGCATCTCATTTATGTAAATTTTATCAGAACTGCTTTGTACATCTCACAACAGGTTCCCAAAGCATAATCTGCGGTGAGCTAAATGATCAAAGAAAAGAGAGGCAATGGACAGAAGGCAGGAGGGTTTAAAGAAAGAGTTGAAACTAGCGTACAAGGTAATAATGATAATCATCACATGTGCTGCTACGAAGGTGACTGAACAGAACAAGTGAATAATCGAGCGTAAGAATTGGCAGGTTAGTGTTCATACTGAAGTGCATAGGCCATATAAGGCGTCGGTTGCACAAACACACATACACACAAGTCATTCGTACACGTATGCCGCAGTGGGAGTGAATTCACGACTGCTGAGCCCGGTTAACTGGACAGTTGTCAGACGATCCGTCAATTCATTGGCTCATCGACCAGCCGAGTGGGGAAATCAACTGAGGCCTAACGCTGGCAGGACAGTTAGTCCTTTGAGAGATTATCCTTGGCCTTTATGTGTGAGAGCCAGGAAAATTGATCATCACAGGCAAGCGGGAGACCGGTCTGAGACAGCCCAAGTCTTTCAGATTTAACTATCTCTGGTTGCCTGCAAGAGGCAGCGGAGCAGGGGGCTGGGCCAAGTGTGGACGAACCGACATCCAACCGATTAGTTGAATTTGGAGCAGTTGTAAAGGCCTCAGGATCCACATCGGTCGGACTCCCCGAGGGTTCGCGATCCTCGGAATAAGTGAAAGACATAGACGATGGAATAATACTTGGAGGTGGGCTAGGGCGCTTAGTACGCAAAGAGTCAATATACTCTTGTCGCGACCGTTCTATTACCATTGCCATCAGAGTATCATCGTCAAGATCTAAAAGTCATTGCAAAATATGATAACCAAGGGCAAATGAAAATGATGGGGTATATGAAAAATTACAGGAAAATAAAAATATCTCTAATATTAAAACATAAATTTTGTAGTCAGATGGATTCAAGATAAGTAATAGATTGAAAGCATTCAAGAGCCTATATTTTTTAAATAAATTGAAAAAGATAACGGGAAGCATATAGTGCCGAATTACATGGTCTATACAATGAATATTGAATTTGTTATAAAAAAACCTATGAACATAATTGAGCATTGAAGCGAATTAAGCTAGGTGAATTATATGAGAATTAGGGTAGCAGCCAAATGCACCAGATTGGAAATGCAACAGTAGCGGGATATAAGCAATATCTGACACGAAGGAAATACTCGTAGTCTCTGAAGTATAGAAATAGTAATTATAACAGCAAGAAATGCTTTAAGATTGCTCTTAAGAATAGCACGCTACGTACAATCTCCAGATCGAGGAAGCTGTCCTCGTCACCAGATATCAATATCAACATCATTTTGAAAATAAAAATAAACAAATAGGTTCATAAAAAGTGTAGTCCTAAAGGTGTCTCAAAGACAAAATTGAAGCCCGACAGAATAGAGGAATAGTTTCAGTAGTTCAGCTGACCCGCTGATCACCTAATAAGATAGTAATAGTACAAAAAATGCATCTGCTATTAATCTGAACATGCCAACATAAAAAGTGCAGTCATGGGATGGAGATACCGCGAAGTTCACACCACCACGCAGCTGAAAATTATTTCACACATTAATCCCTTGTGCACAATGCGGAGGCACTGAGAAAACAACTGTGAAAGCTCATATCAAATAAAAAAATTTCCAGTAAGATACAATATGAAACAAATGCCTAATGAAGTAATCAATACATTCTATGAGATAGTCAAATATATAGTAAAAAAGTAATAGGCTTAAAATATGAATCTCATTTAAAAAACGGCTGATTTCAAACAATATGAAATGGCAATTGAATCAAATAGCTTAATCAAACGTTTTGTAGCATCATTTAATTTTTTCAAAAAACTAGTTGATAATTAAATCTCAAACAATTTATATTGGGAGGCAATGCAATCATTTTTATGGGACCCAAGCACCTTTCGAGATGTTAATCAAGAAAATAAGAAAATAGATCCAATGAATAAAAAAAGCTATTTAATACGTATAGATAATCCAGGAATAGAAATATTGAAAATTTTCCCAAGTCCCGGCTCAGACAATAATTTAAGGCGTATTTGTATAGATAGGACC